TCAAATCGTTCATCGTCCGTCCAACTTCATATCTTATCACTTATTTCTTATCGTTCTTTGAAATTCACCTTCAACAAAGACCAACTCTCCAACCATTCGTGCCTCACAGCCTCTTGCTTGCTTTGTGATTAGATCATATGTGAGATTGAACCCATTATTTGTTCATAACATCACATCATTAAAAGTAAGATAGAAAAAGAACTTTTCGCCTGTTTGCTTGTGCTTTGCAAGTCGCCCAAAAATCTTGAAATCTATCTTGTAAGATGAAAACCACAAAAATAATGGTTCCACGTCGTCATGGGTAATGTTGTAGGTATTTACCGGGTTGCCAGTTCGTAAAGGGTATAGGAAATGGATATCGCGTGCAGAAATGCTTTTTTTAATTTTTTGTTGAACATATCAAAAGAAACATGGGAAATGACTAAGCGCCGAAAAGAAGCAATCCGTAAGGTTTTGATATAATGCTTATAATGCTGTTCGATCTTCGCACACCGAGAAAACGAGTAGACGGCCTTGGATCAATTGATGTTGTCCAAATTACAAATGAGAGACAAAATACGATGAACCAGTGTAAAAGCAATGATCGATAGTTCATCGAGGCCTATCGAACAACGGCATCCCTAGTAAAGGGACCTATGCAACAGGAGCTGCAACAGGAGCAATTGAAGCACCTTCCATGTTGCTAACTATGCCGGCACCACCCTCTCCAGCGAGGTTATCATTGAGTCCCTTTGATGGACAGTCACGAGCAATGTGACCTTCGGTTCCACAGGTGTAACAAGTCTTTCCAGCCTTGTTAACACCGCCGTTGGGGCTAGTGCACTCACGGGAGCTGTGTCCAGTTCTTCCGCATGCATAGCACTTCATGGCTTGAGCCTGGCAATCACGGGCAAAGTGGTTTGGACCACCGCACTATCAGGAGTTAGTTTAATGTAACCGAGGCACTAGACCGAAGTGTTGCCGACATGACATGCTGCCGGAAGATTCGGTACATGTGGCAACCTGAGAGAAGATTGCTTACCTTGTAACAAGTGGCTGGGCGAGGTCCGCCAGCAAATCCACCGCGAGGAGCAAATCCACCGCCAAATCCACCACGAGGAGCACCAAGTCCACGTGGAGGACCTTGCATTCCGTTGTTTGGGTTTGGGCAAGCTCTAGCCAAATGGCCAGGAATACCGCAGTTGTAGCATCGACCGGTGGTTCCAGCTCCGCTAATACGCAAAGTTGGACAGTCGGCTTGAACGTGTCCTAAACCTTGGCAGTGGTAGCACTGCTTAGCCTCGGTAGTTCTTGGCAATGGGCAGCCATTCGATTCATGTCCTACGTCGCATTAGTATGACAAAAAGCTGTGCTTTGCTTCTGAAGGCTTACCAGGTTGCTTGCCTAATCATCAAAAGTATTAGTCTTATTCATTATCAAAGGTTCTTTGATATGTACTCACAATTGTAGCAAAGGCGTTCAGCAGAAGCGCAAACTTCAGCATAATGACCAACGTTTCCGCACCTGAAAATACCAATGTTAGCGTTACCCTTTGAAACAAGAATGTTGCATAACACCAAAAAAGCATTGAGTTCTTTGAGATGTCGCCAGGAAGATAAGTTCCAGAGCCAAGCATCCCTTGATGTCCGAGAGAAAGTGGAGGGACTTACTTGTAGCAAGCACGACGAGATAATGAAGACATGGCTACTAATTTATGTGTCTGTTGTGTTCCATCATCAGCACGGCAAATAACAAAGGCACCATCCTCCAATTCCCATTCTTTAACAATCCTCCTGCATCTATGCGGTGGCTCATCCACACGATCTGATCTTAACCATTCCTCAACTTTCGAAGTCGGCATATTGGTGATTGTTGCTTAAGAAGATTTGGCGATGAGGTAAGTTCGCATTGAAATATCCACCAGAAGAACGTTGCAGTTGCATGACCAGCATCATCGTCAGGCTGCAGGGCGTACAAATGCTGTGCAACCTTTGAGTATAAGATTTATATTGTGGTGATTCGTTGACATGCTTTCGACGACTTTGTTTGTTCACTTGGTAAGGATAGTCGTTGTACGTAATATTGAGGATGGAAAGATCGGACGTTGGATAGGTTTGAGTATCATCAAGTAGATGTGCCACCTTATGGTTTGCTTTGTTCCATATCCAAAAGACATTGTTCAACTCTTGAGGACGTAGGATCGTAAGAGGTACAAAGCCAAAGCCAGAGCCGGCGCAGACCTTTCAAGTAGTTCCCTTTTCCTCCCTTCCCATTCTTCCCCCTCCCAAAACAAAATCCAACCATCAACGAATTAAAAAGGAGAAATGAAAATAAGCAAGTACTCACAGAATAAAATTCCTTTGGACTTTTGCTTCTTAGATTCCCGTTCTTGAAAAATATATCAACCTTTCCTTCAACAACAGCTACTTCCTACTTCCTTCTACCTCCCGTGATACAAACGTTTCGCGAAAGAGACTGCAGAATTGTGTGTGATGTGGTTTTTATTTTGTGGAGGGATTTCGGAAGGCAAAACTTCAAAAAGGATGTCCCTTTGTAACCTGGAAAACTTTAGCTTAGCAAAGATCCTAATTCTTTGAGAATGATCTAGTCTTGAAAGAGATTAGCTTCTGAATTAGGATATGGCGACTAGTGCCAGACTTAGTTTAGCTCAACCGCCCAATGGAAAATCTAATGGCGAATAATGAATGAATGGTAATCCAAGGTGGGTAGTCTAAGGGTGGGTAGATAGGTAGGATCAGGGCAGGGCAAAAAAAAAACACGAGTGAATTTTGATAAACGAACTAGTGGGAATGAAATGAATGGGAATGAATGGGAAATTGGGGAAATTGATAGATTTGATTGGTTCAAATAGATAAAATAATGGAGAATCACTTGAATACTTGGAATGGGGGGGTTAATCAATCAATATCGGTTGATTTTTAACAATTGATGATTTTACGGGTACGGTACGGTACACCCGTGGACTACTTCTTATTAGGTAGCAATACCTACTACGGAGTATAGATAGGTACGCTATGATAGAGGAGGATATACTTTCCAACTAACAACTTGGTATCTTACTATTGAGGAAAGTATGGAATCATTGAAATGGAATCTCATCGTATCCTACCAGTACATTCCAAGAAGTCAGAAGTTCATATCAACTTTGTCCATTCGCCTCTTTGATCTCGAGTAATAGGATTCAAAATATTGGCTGATTGATAAAAGTGATTTGTCAGGATGGTTGTTACCTAGTATTTTAGGCAAAAAACGGATTAGTGGCTGAGTGAGGGAGTGTGTGAGTCTCGAGTGAGCAAAAGCCCCTCCTTGCCTCGTATTGATTTCGTTTATATATTTGGCTCGACTCTAGAGTAGGTATATTTAACAGAACGAACCATGCATTTCACACCAGAGACTAGCTACTATGTAGGCAGAGAGAGTACTTGGTGCAGAGTTACAAAGAAGAATAAAGAGAGCCGTCCAATCAAAGTGCATTCTCATCAATGATTTCCCATCTTATGAGCTTATCAGCCGGGACGACCGAGGGTATCCAAATCCAAGTCTCTATCCCCAAAGATACAATACAATACATCCTCCACACTCTTCCTATCCTCTCTCTATACACACCGTCCTTCCAATGACTACCATCCTTCCCATAACTACCACTCTCCCCTTCACCTCTCGCCCACCCGGCCCCGAGCCGGCCACCGTACCCCCCTCGCTCTTACAAAGCTTTTGCGGAGGAATCTCTACTACACCTACCCTCTCCCCAGCTACATCTCTCCTAGTAAACCGTAAACCGTAAACCCCCAGTGCAGGTGCAAGTCTCGCTGCGCCGCCCCCAACCTCCACTCTCTTTTCCCTTTTGCCGCCTTTTCCCAATCTTAATTTTTCTACCATATCATACATACTCCATACTAAATCAATTCCCAATTTCCAAACATCAAAAACGAATCCAGATCCATAATCTCTAAATACCACATTAAGCAAATCCGTCCTTGTACCCCATAAAATGTAAATAGGACTGTCTAGGTACCTAGGTAAGACAAGATAGACAGAAACAGAAATCCCGATCTGTAATCACCAATTCTACAAATTTACAAGTATCCGAGATGGATGATGAAATTTCCCTCGAGAGTACCTAGGCACCTAGGTAACTTTCTATACATACATACCTACCACATTCATAGCTACGATATACTAGATATATATCTATCTACCATACGACACCAATCCCACAGCCTCAGTACAGAAGAAATAAATAACCGCATCCCCTTTCGTACCTTACCTTACCTACACCTTCTAGGCACCCACTCTATGCACCAACAATCAGCCAACCCAATCAATTTACCTCCACACACCCAAGCAAGACATCTTATCTTGCACATGCATGCCATGCGAACTCCCACGCGTTGTGACAATACGATGCGGCTCTTGTGAAATTTATTGCTTGTTATTTGTTACTTCTGATATCGTATATAGGTATATTTTATATTCACATCTCTTCTTCCAGAATCTAGAATCTCCACTCATCTATCCTTCTATCCATCCAATGATCTCCCCCATCTCCACATCTACCCACCATCACTCACTGCATCCAAGCCAAGACTAATATCTAAAATTCCAATCTCTACTCTTACCACACACTCCCCTCCAAATACTGTTATACTATATCTGTATCTCCCCTCCATTTTCAACACCATTCCAACATTCCCACCAAATATACGTAAAGAACCATGACCTACTCAAGAGCCACGAGAGATACCACCCACAAAAGTAGAAAGGTAGAAACAAAAGAAAAAAAACTCCAAACACTATGCTAAACGCTATCAATGTTTCATAGGTATATGCATCTAAACGCCCCAGATCAAATCAGATCAAATAAAAAACTCCATATCTCCCAGTCCAAAATTGTGAAATTTGATTTTCCCATACATGTACAGAATTCGGATGATGCCCATCAAGGGCTCATTCTCGTAGAGTTTTCTTTCATGTCCGTTTACTAGACATGGTTAGTTAGATTAACGAGGCCATTCCGATCGATCAGCTGGATGTCGAGGTAATACGTCTTCTCCCGTAACCGTTGAACGAGGTGCTGCCTCGATTACATAATCAATGCCATCATCAGACATATATGACGGGGGACGATTAGCTGTCGAGGGTCGTTCGGATATTCGAGAGATGGAACGATTTAATGCTGCTTCATTTCTTTGCCAGAAAATCCGATTTGGATCAACCCTCTATGTGTATTGTTAGATAACCATGTCATGTCTTCACTACGGATTGGAGTTACTTACCACCGACTCTCTCCATAATCCATAAGCTGGAGGAGGCATTTTCGTAGCTTGACTCTCAATACCTGCTGCTTCTTCATCTCTGGCGAGTGCGACTGGTATAGGGACTGAGGTTTCGGCATAACCTCCAGGTCCAACCATCGATGGAAGACGTCGTGGATTTGGTTCTCCCTCTATCGGCGGTTTTAAGATCATCATACAAAGGCAAATTAAAGAATGGCAGAAGAAGATAGTAATTATCAAAATAATCAAAATTAAGAGAACGTGAAATTCTTGGCTCTCATCCTTATTTGACAATGCCAATGTAAGATATATCGTGAGCACTAGAACGAGAAACTATAAATTACATTAGAAAATTGTGGGGGGAAAGATATATGGAGAAAAATGTAACACATACCAGCCCAGATATTAAGGAATGCAATATTTTTTGGCGTATTCTTTTGTTCCGGATTCTTGGCGCAGACCCTCTTCCACTTTCTTGCGTTCCCCTTGGAGTTACCCTTCTTCTTCTTCTACCACTATCTGCTAAGTCGGCTAGATGCTGCTCAGCAGGATCTACACTAAGAAACCTGCGCTCCGATCGTCTTCGCACTCGAGGTGGTATTGTCGAAATAGGAGACGAAACTGCTGGAAATTGTGTGGATTGTGAGAGTCTACTATTGGAACGAGTCGCGACAGGTGGTGGACGACGTTCTTCATGTCGAGGTAATATTGGTTCAGCAGCGGCAGAGTTTCGGCGCGTCGAGCTTCGACTTATGGTAAGGCCCGGAATATGGATTCGCGTTGATGGCAGATTGCTAAGGCCAACTAATCGTGGAGCTTTAGGACTTTCTGGGGAAGGACTCCTAGCCTCAGCGCTTGATCGTCCCGAAAACAACGAATTTAGCCCCCCTCGAATTTCCTCCAACCTCGACTGTCGCCTGTCTGATTCGCCCGATGGCATATCCCTCTGTCCAATCTCACTCTGTCGTGAAGGCATTATTATATCCTACTTCGAAATGTGTCGCGGAACTGGTGAATAGAGACAATGTGCCTAGATGATCGTAAAAATGTCTTTTCAAGAAACCGAGTTGCTTTTGTTGCTTGCGAAACCCACAACGCCCCCGAGTTGTTTTATTTTCCACAGCGAGAGGTTAGGCCCTGTCAACACGACCTTGTATGATATAACACGAAGACATTAGATCGAATCAAAGGTGAAGTTATCGTGGTAAACAAATCTACCCGTCCTCATTGCACGCCCGAATCGAAAAGCCAGCAATCGTTCGCGAATCAGTATCCACCAACCGACAGGATATGCAGGCAGGCAGCAGAAGGATCTGGAAAGAATATGGGGAAACTGTGATGTAAAGTAACAAACCCAGACGCACAAAAGAAAGCGCAAAGACCAAGAGATGCCCAAGAGAGTGAAGAGTGAGAGAAGAATACGAAACGTCCGAGAGAGAACTTCTTCGCTCTACGAATGAGTCTCGAATGGTCAGAAATTGCTTCGAAATTGACCACTAAAAAGGGACATAAGGGTAAGAAGGAACGGAGAACACAGCTCACGGACTTCAAGCTCAAGCAAGATATGCAAATATAAACAAGATGCGAACAAAAAAGACAGAATAGGAGAAGAAGCTTTGGCCGATGATGATGATTTCAGTGGACTGTACTAGGTAGTTAATTTCGTCCCAGTCACTACTCTATTTTGGTAGGCAGAGAAAGAACGACAGAACCTCCTCAAGAAGCTGGCTGATAATTCTTGATCTCTCATGTCTCATAGAAGACGACTAGAAGATGACCATGGGTAGCAAATAATTTGATACAATACCGGATAAATCTGCGACGAAAATAACAGTGACCCTGCATATCAAGTTGTTTGACATATTTCCAATTGCGAGCCGCATTTCAGGGATGTAAGGATGTGACTTGTAGATTAAATTTGTTTGGGTCTAAATGAAGTTTGACCTGGGACACATTTTCAAATCTTAAGTCTGTTTCAGTTGAAGGTTGTGACCCACCAATCAAATTTCTTTTTTCTTTCTTTTTTCAGGGGGGTTGAGCTCGTCTAATTAATTAACCGCGCTGCTTATGATGAAAGGTCAAGACCTTGGAGTTTTGAAGAAAACGCTATGATTTATGCAGAGAGCACGGATTAGAAACATCTAGATTACCTAGCTCGGTAGGCAGGAGGCAGGCAGGTAGGTAGGTAGGTATGTAATCATTTCAGTAGAAAGAAATATGAAAGTACGGTATGCATCCCACCAATGCAGTCAATTCACATATGAGATATTCTTGGTGTTTACATAGGTGCTGGATGATACAATTTACACATTTATCTGACTTCTACATACTTTTACAGATAAGATCCAGCCACTCAGCTCCATACAAATTTCTAATTTTGCAGATCTCGTACTGTGGCTATTTTAATCAGCAATATATTGATTTGGATTGGTGAGGGGTAAAGGTATGAATGTTTTTCATAGCATTCATCCGTGCTTGTTCAGATCTCCCAACTTGCTCGTATCAATTACACCATTGCCGTCGATCGAAAACATCTGTAAGGCTAATCCTACTCGCATGCGCAATTCCCCATTCCCTCAACGCCTTCCGGATGGTTTGCAGAGCTTTTCGTAAGCTTCAAAGTTCCTGATTCCTAAACTCCGAATTTCTGCAAGATTTTTGTGGTTGGGTATCTTTTCATTGACTTTGACCTCCTCCTTATCTCACTTCAATTCTCCCAAGAGCAATGTACGATCCGAAGAAGCGGTAAGAACTAAAAGATTGTTAGTAACATAAGATACAGGTTTGGAGGAGCAAATCTTACTTATAGGATCTTTTCCAGGCGATAACTCGGCGCAGTTAACCGTTCCTTTATGGCCAGGTAATTTGTACAATATTTTGCCGTTCTCATTGTTCCAAACAACAGCAGTGCCATCTCCAGCACCAGCAGCGATTTTCTTTCCAGTCGGATCCCAGCTTGCCCGAATCAAATTCTTCTCCATTCCCGCCGGCGCGCCGTCGAAAGTTCGGATATGTCGTTCAGTTGGCGCAAATGGTCTGATATCCCATGTTCGAACCGTCGAGTCCATGGAATTCGATAAAAGTGTTTGAGAATCAGGCGAAACTCGAAGCGATGTAATCGTATCTTGATGGCCAAGCATAGAATATACCACAGCTTTTCTCCTCATATCCCACACCTTGATATCATTGTCAATCCCACCAGAATACAGCTCATTTCCAGCTTCAGCCAATGCGACGGCCGTGACAGGGAACTCAGTAGGGATGAAATCGACAGCAGCTTTTGTCCTTGGATCCCAAATGCCTATATACCCATCGTCTGATCCACTGATGAGAAGTTCCTCTCCTCTTTTACTAATATCCATGCAATTGATTACTTCTTCGTGTCCAACATGTCTTCGTATCCTTGTACCTGTTTCTAAATCCCAACTGGCTAGATGCATATCTGCAGATGCTGAGAACAAGGCTCTTGAGTCGCGCGACCATTGTAAATCTAATATAGCGCCCTTATGCCCTGTTAAAGTTCCGTAGTTTTCGCAATTTCCATACGTTCTCCATAAATCTGCAAAGTATCAGTATGCATGCAACACAGAATGAATGCGTATTGCCCACTAATTGATCTATCCATTGACCCTGAAGCGATATAATTTCCATTGGGATCGAATTTGGCAGCAAATACCTCTCCTGAATGCCCTTCCAATTGCATCACTGGAGCTTGTAAACCACTCGTCCGAGGTACCTATTTTACAGAGGTCAGTAAGACACCTCCCAGATAGCAGATTGTTCCATGAATATTGATAGGTACGTACTGCTTGAATGAGTGCGCCATTGCCAGTTGAACCATTTGAGGCGGATAGAGCTGTGCTCTCATTGCCTACATTCTGTCTCTTCACAACCATCTGAGATGATCCAAAGGACCCAGAAGCTGGACGTTTTCCAGAAGACATGATTATAACTTCTTCCTTCAGGCTACGCGTGATTTTTCGAGAAATGATATGGATGCTTTAAGCTGCGCGTTGTTGGCACCAAGGCTCAATAGCAGAACGCAGTATGAATTTCTAAAAAGTACGCTAAAGTGCGGCCGCCTATCCGGCTTGTGCCTGGACCAGCTTCCAGCTTCAATGGGAATATTATTATGTAGCAAGAACAGCTCCGGAACATGAATTGATTTCATAACCCAATTTCAAGTGTAGTTTAAGATTTATAAGACACAAGTATGGCTTCCAACAAAGCTGCGAGGATGGGCGAGGAGTAAGTGATCTCTTGTCAGTCATCAAGGCGACATATACTAATGCGCAACTCAGGGTCTGGAAGTAAGTACACCAGCAACACAAGAAACACCTGCCATATCTCACGATGGCTAATCAGCATCCAGAAGTCGTGTAGACAAAGTCAATGCCGAGCTAGTCACTCTCACCTATGGAACCATTGTCGCACAACTTTGCAAAGATTACGAAAATGATTATGTGGAAGTCAACAAACAGCTTGATAAGATGGGTTATAATATTGGGCTACGTTTAATCGAAGATTATCTTGCCAAGTCAAATACCATGAGACGTTGCTCGAACTTCAGAGAGACCGCGGAGATGATTTCCAAGGTATGGCTTCAATCGGTATTGTGCGGAATTTGCGGAGCATAGTGCTGATAGAAAACAATAGGTTGGGTTTAAGATATTCTTGAACATCACCCCGGCGGTATCGAACTGGACGAGCGATAACAAACAATTTTCCCTGATTTTTGAAGAAAATCCCTTGGCCGACTTTGTGGAATTGCCAGACGATGGAAGAGCACAAGATGAGTTGTGGTATTCGAATATCTTCTGTGGGATTTTGAGAGGTGCACTGGAGATGGTACAAATGCAAGTTGAGGCTCACTTCATCAGTGATATTCTAAGGGGTCATGATTCAACTGAGATGAGGATTACTTTAGTCAGGTATATTGATGATGAGATGCCAATGGATGATGATTAGGAACCGGGTTGTTTCAGGCGGCGTGCATATTTCTGGCGTTTAGGGATGGGGGTTATCATTGCGAGGATTTTGAAGACATGGGATCTTTATGGCTCAAGGTAGATTATAAAATCTTTGGTTTTAATGTCGAAAACTAATGTATGTTGTTGAGACTGTGCAAACTTTGTAGTTCAGTAAAAGTATCTAGGTTGATGACTTGGTGAGATATGTTTGTCAGTATCCTGGCGTGATCGCTGGCACATCCTGATAATTATATATTTTCTAACTTGCTTGACGACTCAACAACTCTCGCCTGCAATTTGAACACCTCATGAATCGAAGTGAGAGTTGGGTATGGAGATTGGCAAACTATCGTCCATTGGTGTCGGAGAATGTTCAATGACTGAAGTGGTATTTGAAATAAGGAAGTAAGAGTCATAATGCATCAGTTGAAATGAAGCCGGCGAGGTAATTGGGATGCTGATAAATCAAATTGTAGCTGCAATTCAACTTCTCCTGGTGTAGTACTCATTATAATGAAAAGGATGTGGTTGATAGATTAGTTTGATAGATAAGTTAGGGTTCGTTTCTCTCTTAGCTCCAGAAAAGAGGCAGTCGTTAGAGAAGAAACTTCTCGGCGGTGGATCGGAAGATGCAGCGCCGTTGAAAGAAATGCTTGATCGATGCGAATGTCAAAGAAGATCATGTTATCACTGTGAATGAGGCCAACTAAAACTCAGTGGCTCAGAAGATTCAACTATGGGTCTCAGTAGTACGTCACAGGTCGCTAGAGAAGCATTTTTTGCCTTTTCTCAACGCGAAAATTCGCAATATCACTCGCAGAAACGTGGGCATAGTTTTGTATGTAGGGAAGGAAGGAAGGAGTGAAATCGTGGGGGCACGGTATCTGAGTTGGATCTGTACAAGCTGATTATAGTCTTGATCAACCTTCAAGCGGGTTTTACTATTTCACGAAGTGCATGAAGCATAAGCTAGCTATCCCTCAGAGCTCCGAAAAATCATTTTGCAAACAGACGAAGAAGAAGCTGGCGAATCTAAGTTCAAGATCGTAACTCCACAGCCCAGGTCTCAGAAGTTGAACGCAACAAAGGTTCGAGGACTATGTTTCCATGGGAATGTAGAGAAGAATAAAGGACTATTAGAAGAATGAAAATTGAGGAATTACTCTTTCATTATGAGTATGTTCACCAGTTTCCACCTCAAATTTACATTGGTGGTAGCTAAGACGAGGACTAGATGATCCGTTCCCATCATGCTAAGCCTTTAAGTTTGACCGTCACCTGGCATCCCAGATAATGTACGCCACAGAAATCACTGCCACTTCAAAATTTCAGAAGACACAGCTATGAAATATTCGATCCTCTTTGGTATTGCATCACGATGATTCAAGTCGTGGAATCCTAAGCTTTCCGGAGTTTTTGCACCATGGAGGTAAAGTTTTAACTGTCATAAGTACTAAAATCTAGGGCAACAACCATCGAGACTCAATTCAAGTATCGAAGCTGTGACCCATGATAAAATGGGTTTACATTTTCTGATACCTTCAGTCCACCTATCCTTACAGTCTAGACGGGAGTCAAAGGTTTATAGAGAATCAGGTTCAAGTGCTCCAGTATGCCGATCCTGCGACAGAAAATTGGGTTGAACTTGTAGCTTTAGTGAACCCCCCCGTGACATTCCAAGCACCACTCAACTCCTCCACAGACACGCGCAACATCTTTACGGCACTAAGGAGAGGCAGAAACCTGACTTCTGGTCATCAAGCATTGGAAGAAGAGGGTGCTTATTAAGGATTTCATTCACGAGAGGCATGGTTGTCATTGCACGCATAGAAAGACGATGTATCATTAAGGGAATAGGCATAATACTTAGAATACTTGGAGTGGATAGTCAGAGAGCGATATTAGGCTACTTCAAGGAATACATGTAGCGATAGAAAACTTGGAAAACCCACTGCGTTTTGATGTGCGAACAAACTAGACTGCTTGCGAATGCGGACTTGGCAAAGGATGCTAAAGTTTCAGGGGCCGCAAGCGAGCTGGAAAAGTCAAATGCTAGAATTAATGAAATGCTCTACACCTGCGGTGTCCACTAATGATAGCAGTACATAGTCTGAACTTACTAAAAAAAAACCAGCCAGTGCCGACCGCGATCACGAGACCTCATGCTTAGAGGAAAGGAATTTCCGAGAGTTTATGAATGGGGCAATTTGAGTGCAATGGCTCTGATTGCTTCGATGCTAATAGTTATGCACTGCGAAGTAAAATCACCTCGCCTATTTCTAGAATCCTTTGATCTGGTGCTTGCAATATGATGAAAGGGACTTGCTGGCAACGAGGTTGTTAGCTGCGACTACTCTATGAGCCCTGTGAGTCAAGGAATCTTTGCTTTCTACATACATAGATATCCAAATGTTAAACGTGAAAACTCACGATTGACATATTTTGACACAAGGGTCTTCTATAGGACTTTCAGAGTGAGCAGTCAAGATGAAATACATTTCTCACGTTATCACTTTCAGGTAGAAGTTTGCTAGCAAGGCGTTGAAATTTCTAAGGTACTGCAGATGTGCCAGTATCTATCTTGTTGGCATGCATGGCCATATACCAAAGCTAATATTGATAGTATTCTACTCCATAAGCATCGGCTTGGGGAATGAATATTACAATATGACATGCTAAATAAGATCATGAACCTCACCATCAAAAGATTTCTGTCACTCGTTTAGAACAACCACATCAGCCACCGTCAAAATATCCTCTCCCCTATAAAGCAATCTCCCTACGGCCATTAACAATCTAAATTTGGCACCACTCTCATCTTCTCTCCTTCGACACTTTAGCAGTCTGCTTGGTTGGCATTTCATGCTTGCAGTAAACCCTCTCTACATATGATATATGTGTAGATGCTCACGCCCTAAATGTGTAGGTACGGAACTTGGAAGGTCGATTATCGATGAAGGATAGATCGATGAAATTCGATATTGGTTGCTGGCCGCACAGAGCAGCAAAGAGCCATCTGTTGATCCGGAAGGAATATCCTTAGTATATCATGATTATGATGTCCTATGAGAATGGACCTTGTCATCGTAGAATCAGTCATAACCTCCTCCGATCTGGCTTGCGAATGCAGTAGAAACACTCTTTTCATCATCATCGAAACGACGACCACTTAGTAGAGAGCTCGTGCCAAAGACACTGCCAGCATCACCAGTTTTGTAATCAGCGATGCGACCACCTGATTCGACGTATCGCTTCAAGCGGTCAGATTGACTCAAACTAGTTTGCTTCTGTCCTTCGTGAACGCTAACACCGAGGCTAACACCTCCTTGGCCAATGCCTCTGCCATCTGTGACACTACTGCTTGTGACATCAGTGAACTCACTGGCGGCAACGGATTCTCCAGCTATGCTCTCAGGTCCACGCCCACGACCCTTTTGGCCATTGGCACGTGGGCCTCGTGAGTCAAGACCAGGCCAATTGTCAAGACCGGTGAGAGGGAAGTTACCAAAGCCGGCGGGATAAGCGGATCCGACACCTACACCGCCGAGATGGGACGAGTGAACCGAAGAAACGTCATCCAAAGCAGAACTCATCATCGAACCAGTGTCAGTGAAATCCTGTAATGGAGGGGCTTTGTTATTGCCGTTTCGGCCGTTGTGTGGCAATCCCATTTGATAACGTTGTGGGCCACGGTAAGTTGTCTTTGGACGACTAAATTGTAGAAGCGATATTTGCAAGTTTGAAAGTGGACCTTCAACAAGACAGCTACGATCCTTGAAATGCTGCAGCAAGTAATGCCATAGAGGATGCTTTGACAAAACCTTTGGATTACCAACAATGACAAGACCGTACTTGGCACGCGTCAAAGCTACATTGAGACGTCTAGGATCACTCAAGAAACCAATCCCTTGATGGTCGTTAGATCTTACACAAGAAAGAATGATAAAATCTTTCTCTCGTCCTTGGAAGGCATCCACAGAAGCGACTTCAACCTCCTTATAGTGCTCTTTCTTAAAAGAACCAGCATTCTGCATAGATGTCACGACATAACTGCGCTGGCCTTCATATGGGGTGATAACGCCGATATCTCCAGGTTGTACTCCAGCTTTGAAAAATCGAGTAACAATCTTCTCAACATTTGAGGCTTCAGTCCTGTTGAGATAAGAAGTACCCGAAGCAGAGATTTCCTCGTTGCCAAGATTGGACCAGAACATCATGGGTGTATCGGCTACAGGCCAGGGAAAATCTACGTCACGACGAAGCCGTTGTTGCATTGTGACACCATTTTGTAGGGAACCATCGTAGAACATGTTGGACGGGAATTCAGAAAGGCATGGGTGCATACGATACTGAACGTTAAGTCGGATGGGGTTGAGGCCGAGGTGGACTAAACGCTCGAAGAGTGACTGGTTCAGACCTGCCTTTGCGGCCTTCTTGTTCATGATGACGGGTCCCAATTGTTGATGATCTCCAACCAGAACCACTTGTTTGCATCCCAGAACAAGTGGAATCATACATTCTGGTTCTGCTGATTGAGTAGATTCATCGATGAGGACTGTTCTAAATTTCATTTTGGCAAGTCTTGGGTCTCCGGCGCCAACACAAGTACAGCAAATAACATCAGCGTTGCTCAAAATCTCACGTTCGGCAGCTCTCGTCAATGCCTTGAACTTCTTCTCATCTTGACTTGACAATTCCCCCAACTCACTCTTCAACTGAGTAAGTTTGGCCAATTCGTGATTGCTATCATTCATGCGGACCTGCTCATGCAACGAGAGGAAACCAACAGATGACTCGACATCTTCACGGGATTTGGCAGTAAGACGAACAACTTTGAGTTGAGTTCGATGTATACGCTCACAAAGTTGATCGACAGCAACGTTAGAAGGAGCACACACAAGAACTTGACCACCATTGACCTTAGCCAAATGATAAATGACTGTGGCGGATGTGACTGTCTTTCCAGTTCCCGGAGGTCCTTGAATGAGACTCAAAGGCTTTTGTAAGACGCTCTTGACGGCGCTGATTTGACTGCTATTCAATTCTGGCAGACCAGGAACGCTAAATTTCTTGGGCATTTGAATTTTCATTGGAGCTGCGGCCACCTCGTGACCGAGAAGTTTGTGGAAAATATATCCTGATACGCTCATTTCGTCTACGGCGAAAGTCTTCATGGCAAACTGCATGCGGTCGTAAGATGTTGCTTTCCAGACATAATCGGCAGAAAAGTTGTGGGTGCATTCAGTTGGTACTGATTTATCGTTGCCAACTTTTCGGAGTTCGATGGTAACTTCATCAGATTGATTGTTCGGAATTTTGACCACATATCCAACACCCTCCCAGACAGGTCGTAGCTCGCCTTTGTACTTGAGTCGCATCTCATCGCCTACAGCGAGCTTTACATCGCCAAGCTCTATCTTTGGAAGAATGAAACTGGCCAAATGCTTGTTATTCAAACCATAATCCCAACGAATGATTAAACCATCTTCAGATTGAGCTTCCTTAAGCTTGCGGTCGTAGTCTGCCTCAATCTTGACTAAAGGTCCGAAGACATTTTGATATTGATAGGCATCATCGTATTTAAGAAGGACAGGGGCTGGATCATCATCAATTCCAGCAGCCTTCTCCAAATCGGAAAGGGTAGCGTTAACATTATCCTTCCACATCTCCTCCAACTTCGCAATCATTGGCGGCGTGAGATGCCGAGCGCGAAGCTGTTCTGCGTCCGTAGGAAGAGAGACAAGCCAAGACAAAAAGGATCGATCCTCGATCAACGGTTGCCATTTGGACACATCCCAACTCATATCCTTTGAAGATGGAGCAGAGGCGCAAGGTTGACGGCATAGAAGAACCACGACTGTATCCGATTTTGCAGGAATAAAGCCGAGGAGAAAAACATTTTTTATACCGCAGTTGTAGCATTCCAGTACAGTATCTCCGAGGGTCGACATTGGGTGCAATTGAACTTCCTTATGCCTTGCGCGAACAAGGTGATTGACAATGTGCGAAGATGTAGCATTTCCACGGGCACTGCAGAACCATTTGTTGCATCCCAAGCACTTAACCACACAGCTTGGTGAGTGAATTCCACAATATCTACACATCAAATCAGCCCAGCTCAGGACAGTTTAGATCGTTGATAGTTCAACTTACGCGCATGCGTGTGCTGGTAGTTCCTTCTCATCCTCAAGACCTCGAAGCCCAAGAGTTTTCATACCATCGACTGGAACACTTGCAAGACTCTCGGTGTCGTCGTCATCGAATACTTCAGTCTCGTTGTCATCATCATCGCTTCTTCGTCTGCTGGATCCCAAGCCACCATGACCTCCGTATTGACCATATAACAAGCTTTCATCCGGATCAATGTTTGAGAGATCATCTGCACCGGCGTTGATTGCTGCAGCAGAATCGGATATGAGGTGGTTCCCAACGTGGGCAAAAGCGCTTTCCATGATGACAGTATGTCTAGATACTACACAAAATAGTGAAGGGTTGGAACTAGCTGTAGTTCAGGCGACTATCAGAAGACATCAGAATAAATCATTGAAGATCCCGCTATGAAGCAGTAGAATATTAGTACTTACAATAGATTGGATAAATTCCTTATGTTTGTGGAGGTAGCCTTTGTGGCGGGAGGGCGGCGCAAAGGTTTTGGAGATATTCTTGAAAGCTGGACAAGACTTTCAAGTCATTATCGTAACTTTGACCGTAATTCACAACTTGTCCTGCAGAAGTTTGATATCTCTTGTGTAATATTGAGGAGCCCAGAAGGTATTTTACCAATGTTGGTCGGGTTGGTGGAGTACTCGAGAAGAGATGCACAGTTGCTTTTTTGATTGTGGGATTTCACATTTACTAATAAGTGACATTGCTATTTGGGTGCTTAGCGTGCTGATACTGATACCGATACCAGCCGATAAAGGTTTGTGATAGAAACTTTTTTTTTCTGCTTGACTACCTCACAAAAAAGCTTCATACTATCCCTCTCAAAAACAAACTCTCTTAAGCCAAATAAACCATTATTAAAATGATTGTAAGTTGGATTCATATCAATCATCATATATTTCCCTGCAATGCTGTTTCAAATTCAATTAACTAATACATGTTATGTTCTCTAGCGCAAACAAGCTCGACAACGACGAGATTATCTCTATCGAAGAGCCTTAACACTTCGAGACGCTGAGATCAGTGAAAAGCGCGCAAAGCTTCGAGCCTCTCTAGCATCAGGCAAACCTTTAGATCCATCAATTGCGAATGATAAAAAACTACGAGAAGATTATAAATATGATGAATCACGACCAGATTTGACGGCAAACGAGGAACTTGACTTGGATGATGAATATGCTCAACTTTCTGGAATCGTTGATCCCAGAGTACTGATCACAACTTCAAGAGATCCTTCATCAAGACTTTCTGCCTTTGCGAAAGAGATCAGGTTATTGATACCAACTTCAATCCGTCTAAATCGAGGAAATCTCATTTTGCCAAGTCTAATTACGTCCGCCCAAGCATCTGGACTTTCCGATATCATCCTCCTCCATGAACATCGTGGTACACCAACGGCCTTAACGTTATCCCACTTTCCCCATGGGCCCACGATATCATTCTCTCTACACAATGTTGTTTTGCGCCATGACATCCCCAATAGCTCTCGTGGTACGGTCAGCGAGTCTTATCCCCATCTAATCTTCGAAGGCTTTACATCAAGATTGGGTCTTCGAATCGTCAAAATCTTGAAACATATCTTTCCCCCAAGAGAAGCGATTACGAACAAGACGAAAATGGGAAGCAGAGTTGTCACGTTCAAGAATATTGAAGATAGCATCGAAGTTCGACACCACGTGTTCGTTAAGACGGGATATCAAAATGTGGAACTCGCAGAAGTTGGACCTCGGATGACGATGAGATGTTTCGAAATTAGAGGAGGAACTTTGGAGAATAAGGATGGCGATGTCGAATGGAGGATGAATCAATATACGAGAACTTCCAAGAAGAAGGACTACCTGTGAGAGTTTGGGATATGATTATTTGCTTGTTTGTTTAGCGTGGAGTTTGGTGGTATCAACTTACTGTTGCGAGGTTCAAAAGATTACAAGTCGAGGTCCTTCTCCATCGACATATCTACCAAAGATCGTGACAAAGAAAAAAATATCCGCGGATAACATAGGTAGTAGCCATATGGTCGCGGCGACTCTGCATGCCTCGTCTACCGATATGGAAAGAATCGAGAATGTACCGAGGAGGGGTTGATGCATCATGGGTACGATGTGATCTGAAAACAGTCTATGGTTGGGCATTATTCAGATCCCCTCATTTCTGCTACCTTGTTATGCATTTCGGTTTCTTTGTTCAAAATTCGGTTATGAGCGAAGCAAACAAAATTAGTGTAGGTGTCTAGATGCATATTCTCAATCACATTGTTCATTAATTTGTCTTTCAAGCTCTTTCAACGCTTTGTTGTAGTTGTCTTTGAGCATGCTACTTGCCAAAGATGCTAATTATCTATCGATAGATATTGAGAATTGAGCCAAACGGCAAAAGTCGAGTGGTTTCACATGTTCTTGATGTTTTTTTGCTCAAACATTCGACCAAGATAGGAGATATAAAATGATTCTGCGGATGCTCCGAGGCTTCCTTGGCTGCCCAATTCAAGTCTTGGCATATACATATCTCTCCACCTTCAATATTTCAAAATCTTTTATCGTGTGTGTGTGGATCTGATGCATACCAAGTTTCTTTTCTCTCTAAATGAATTTCTAATTGAGGCCTTTCCATCATTTACTCGCCGGACACAATTTCTCCGTTCACGAATTAGGACCATGCGAGTTTTCAAGATGAGAACGACTCCATCGCGTGTTGTGTCTCTATCAGGGGAACGAGACGAAGTTCGCACTATCGCTGTCATGGACACAAATCCTCACAATGTTTTGGGAATATATTGACAGATACAGGGGCAACACGAGATGACCCTGAATCGATCCATACTGCAGTCTTGGACCCTTTCAAAGTCTTTCCAATATTATCAAAGGCAATGCTGACACGAGTAACGGCACCAATCTGTTCCCGTGGTCTGCTTCTATCCTTCGTATGTAAGCAAGACATCACATAAATTCGTGGTGTTCAGGGTTCAGAATGACGGGCTCAAATTGAAGGAATATGCCAAAGTAAATCTAAACCTACCTTGTTACCTCTTGACAGAAAGGTTAGCGAGATCAATAGTCACTGTAAGAGCTGACAGCCCCTTCACGCTCTTACAGCCGTTACTATCTGATCAATTAGGTTGCAATGCTTATATCGCAAGGATTATAAGGACAGGCGCGCAAGTTGAAACCCAATCTCGGATTTAAGCCGAACCGCGTTACCATCGCGACTGGTTCATCTGAATAAGATCTTATCAGGATTAGGTTCCCTGTGACCATGTGGAATACCCTGCATTCCCTTCTTCACGACCTACTTTGTACAGATTTCTTCATGTATTGTTCATCATTACTTCCTTTGGGAGCCGACATCATTCTTAGTTCAGCTCATCGAATTCCGAGTCCCGAAATTTCAGCGCGTAATAAAGTGTTATTTACGTACGGTACAGTTTGTCACAAGTCTTTGTGATATGTACTTGAAGAAATCTCTCGTGAAATACGAGATAGCAATTCAAACTACCATGGAAGGAATCAAAGTTTTGATAATGTATAGATGCTGTTCGTTGTTGCCTCTTTAGAATTGTTAAGGTAGTTCCATACAGAGTGGGGGGGGGGGAAGGAGGTTCGGGGTCTACTTTTCACAAAACCTTCGGCAAGAAAGAGGAGTTAGTCGCAGCAGTGGCTCCACCATCAGGAAGTAAGGTTCCGATCAACTGTGGATACACGATCATTGCTTGTTTATTCCGTAAGCCCCTCAATCATGTGGCTCGGTTCCTGAGGATGTTTCGTCTTGCCCTATCAAAAACCGAACTCTTAGCTTTATCAACGCTAATTCGCAATGCAATACCGTTTTCTTCATTCTTTATATTCTTGGCATTCCTTACGGTCTCGAAACTTGAAGACAATGATATGTTGTGAAAAAATTACAAATTAAATATTCATAAACTAATGGAACTAATGGAACTACTAAACGCAATCAACCCAATATTCCTGCACGATGTATGCTGCCGGTCATTTTCTTTACCTTAAAAGTTGCGGACATTTCCTTCACTTCGAAAGCTCCGACCCGGCTCTTTAACTACAATCTGTGCAATGTCAGTAGGTACAATCTTGATTAGGAAGATGGGAAGTCCTGGTATGTCTTGGTATATCTCGGTCAACTACCGGCCCTAGGGTTCCCTCGACACTACTACGATATTGTACTACAATACACTATTCGCGGGGTGGTATCAAAGACTTGATATTGAAAAGCGTCGTAAGCTCTATCAAGTCCCCTAATCATAATCCATGCCAGACAAAGGTGCACAGACGGTCCCCAAAAACCTTTTGCTTGCCTTTTCTAACTGGGTTACGATTTTTCTGGGGATATTTGAGTAGGACGTGGACTGAATCTGTGTTGTGTCCGGAGATCACCATATACTTCTACATGTTCCTCAGAGTTTAATGCATTTTAGGAAGTGATCAATACGGCTGAGGCTCAAGCAAACGGAAACTAATGAAATCTGAAATCTAAGTTCATACAAGCTTAATCCTAAAGCTTAAGGCGTCGTCTCATACGTTCGGTAAGGTACCCGAAAGATTTCATACGCAACAGCGCGATTACGAAATGCAAGGAAAAGGAAATTTTGAGTGGGCATATTGAGTATGAAATTTTACTAACTCAACAGACCATGCATGCTACTCATCAGTATACTCACTCATTATTCTGGAACCATTTTCATAGAAAGTTACTTTCATTATCTATTTTGACCACGGGTACGAAATATGGAACCCAAGCCAGGGGCGAAAGCCTTCCGCTGCGGGCTGAGGAGAATTACCAGGAGGCCTACTGATTATGTGATTTTTTTTTAGCACAAAACTCTAATCTGTGTACCTGCAGTCACCAGTAAGCAATAGTTGCATCGTGTAAGTTATCGATTGTGACTGACGTGTGAGGACTTACCGATGAGGAAAAAGTGGCTTGACACCCGTGAATCCTTGCGGCTTATAACCACAACGTGAGGAATAATTCCCCGAGTTGTTCTGCTCACTACCTCTAGCAACGAACTTTCTGCCAGGTCCCGAAAGACCGAGACGAGTGCAGATCATCGAATAAGCTCAGATGTGGTAATCCTTCCAGCCAAAAGGATTGACGAATATTAACTGTTTCAACAGCAGGTGATCTTTGAATATGTCTCCACGGTCTTCGGCACGAACTGATGTCTTCCCCTGGAGTGATATATTAATGTACCTTTGATGGCGCTAGCATAGCTCCGCGTTGGGAAGCACTGTCCATTCCTTCAACCCTTCCATAATTCAGATGGATCTTGAGGTTCTCACCATGCATTCGACTTACCACATTCGTATGCCAAGAGATGCCATTGGCAACAAAAGCAAAGAGTCTACAGATATACTGCACATAGATGGGGTTCAGAGAGTACGTATACCTCCCATGCAATGTAACCCAGCACGGCGACAAAGCATTCAAGGCTACCCGAGCCATCACAGGACAATACGAACTTCACTATGTTGCCGTCAGCGTCTGGAACCTAAGCTCGGAGGTGGACACGAAGCTGACGGGACGGTCCAATTTCAAGAGCTTCACTTTTCTATAAAGTCAAGATCTTTCGCCGTGGAATTCCTTTCTTCAGTCCTCGTCTCATCCTCATCACAGTCTCTTCTTTACAACTCCTTGCCTGGAGAACACAATCTTTTCCGTCTTTTTTTGTTTAATTCATAATCATGAAGTGTTCTACAATCTTTACTGCCCTCACTGCATTCTTTGCACAGGCATCTGCATCAGCTATCCCAGCTGTTCGTTCACCACTCACTCCTCGTCAAAACACCACTACCTCTTGTGCAAACTCAGCTACTTCCAGATCTTGCTGGGGAGAGTATTCCATTGATACCAACTGGTATGATGTTACTCCTACCGGAGTCACCAGAGGTATGTGATATCAAACTCCAATTCATTAGTCTATCACTAACTTTATTTACAGAGTACTGGCTTTCAGTTGAAAACTCTACCATCACACCTGATGGTTATACTCGCTCAGCCATGACCTTCAATGGAACTGTCCCAGGACCTGCAATTATAGCAGACTGGGGTGACAATCTTATCATCCGTACGTCTTCTGTTTCCCAAAGAATCTCTTTGTCCTCACAACTTGAGGCTCTCGAATATCATTCTGTCCAAACTTTGGCTATATTTACTAATTACCTAATTGCAGACGTTACCAACAATCTTGAACACAACGGTACATCTATTCATTGGCATGGAATCCGTCAACTAGGAAGTCTCGAGTACGACGGTGTACCTGGTATGTCTTTAAAAGATCGTCATCATACGATCACAACATCCCCCCATCTGTCCCATCCCATTCTATATCCCCTCCTCCCTGCACCCACAAATATTTCCTATCTTCTATTGAAAAATGACTAACATCAAATCCAGGTGTAACTCAATGTCCTATCGCTCCTGGAGATACCTTGACTTATAAGTTCCAAGCTACTCAATATGGAACCACTTGGTATCACTCTCACTTCTCTCTTCAATACGGTGATGGACTCTTTGGACCCTTAATCATTAACGGTCCTGCTACTGCGGACTATGATGAAGATGTTGGTGTTATTTTCCTCCAAGATTGGGCACATGAATCCGTTTTCGAAATTTGGGACTCCGCTAGACTTGGCGCTCCTCCAGCACTTGAAAACACTTTGATGAACGGAACCAACACGTTCGATTGCTCAGCCTCTACTGATCCTAACTGTGTTGGTGGTGGTAAGAAATTCGAGTTGACTTTCGTCGAAGGCACCAAATATAGGTTGAGATTGATCAACGTTGGAATTGACAGTCACTTCGAGTTCGCCATTGATGGACACACACTTACTGTTATCGCCAATGATCTTGTTCCAATTGTACCCTACACTACGGACACCATTCTCATTGGCATTGGTCAAAGATATGATGTTATTGTTGAAGCCAATGCGGCAGCAGATAATTACTGGATCAGAGGAAATTGGGGAACCACCTGCTCAGGCAACATGGAAGCAGCAAATGCTACAGGTATCCTCCGATACGATAGCTCTAGCACCGCAGATCCTACCTCTGTTGAAACCACACCTCGCGGAACTTGCGAGGATGAGCCAGTTGCCAGTCTTGTTCCACATTTAGCATTGGACGTTGGTGGATACTCTCTCGTCGACGAACAGATGTCCTTCGCATTCACCAACTACTTCACATGGACCATCAATTCTAGTAGTCTGCTCCTCGACTGGAGCTCCCCAACAACTCTCAAGATATTCAACAACGAGACAATCTTCCCAACTGAATACAACGTTGTCCCTCTCGAGCAAACCAACGCCAACGAAGAGTGGGTCGTATATGTCATCGAGGATCTCACCGGCTTCGGCATTTGGCATCCTATCCATCTCCACGGCCACGATTTCTTCATCGTAGCTCAAGAAGCTGATGTGTTCAATCCCGACAAGTCGCCAGCCAAATTCAACCTCGTCAATCCCCCACGTCGTGATGTTGCGGCACTTCCCGGAAACGGTTATCTTGCCATTGCATTCAAGCTTGACAACCCTGGTTCCTGGCTCCTTCATTGCCATATCGCATGGCACGCATCTGAGGGATTGGCAATGCAATTTGTGGAGTCTCAAAGCTCGATTGCTGTCGGGATGAGCGACACTGCTATTTTTGAGAATACTTGTGCAAACTGGAATGCTTATACTCCTACTCAGTTGTTCGCTGAGGATGATTCTGGAATTTAAGGGATTCCTGTTGCCCTATGCAATTCCAAATCATTAATCGGATAAATTGTTCGTTCATGTGGATGTCTTTCTACATCTTTCAACCTCCTCTCGCTTATTACACAACACCACTCAATACTATCACGGATGTCATGAGAAACGCAGAGTACCTTCATTCATACCACTGCACATAATTTTTATTATTTATTATCAATTGCTCATTTATTCATTCATTCATTCATCTATCTGTTTATTATATTTTTGTTTATTTTATTCTTACTTTACTTCCTTCCGGGTTATTTCGCGAGCGAGCAGTACATATTGAGTATCTGCATGGTCACTCGTTTAGTTTTGATTTCTGGATAGTCAGAGAAGAAGCATAGGAATACAGAACTTGCTTGCTGACTCGATTCAATTACCTTTATTCCCTTGGTTTGGATATGTTTGAGCGGATGGGAAGGCGGTTACTCTACTCAGTGTGTATATGGTAAGATTACATAGTTTATAAATATATATATGGCTTAGTGGACTTATATGGCCTTTGTGTTTGGTGATTGCGATGGTGATACGATGGACAAGTCGATGTTAATGTAGTAAGCAATGGACCAAGTAAGTCGCACATCAAAGTCATACACTTCTTAAGCATGCTCCAAGGCATTCCTGAAGTACCCAGTTTATACTGAGCAATAAACTATCTCTCATGTTTGATTTCTATAAGGTGGAAAGACTTATAGACCAGGGCATATTTCAAACCTCTCATCTTGCCCTTTCTAGGGGGGGTTAAGAATGAATATATCTGATGTATAACACAGTGAAGAATGATTCATGATTATGATGAAAGGTTCGAGTACTGGGCATCGGGGGGGGGTTGGCAATATACGATAGATACATTGGTATTTACTTGTACACCCGGTCGATTCTTGCTATCGTATAGAAACTCCCAGTAACCTGAGGATATAAAATACCATGAATCCCTATGATACCAGTCTCTGACCACCTGTGATTGCATAGCGCATAGTGTTCGATCTAGTAAATATCCACAAAACTATGATTATACAAAGTCCTACGAGTATCTAACACGCGCTCAATTGATAGGCCCTGGATAAGACAAAATCCCTCAAAATCTATCATCATCTCATAACCTTCGCCGCTGAATGTCACCAGATATTCATATCACCCAATATTATGATTAGTATCCACAAACCACCACTATCAAGTGTGAATGTGAATGTGAAAGTGCTGAAGCGGTAAAGGTGGGAATCGTGGAAATGACGGAGAAACAACAAAGTGGAGAACCGAGTCGCAGGATCCGCATCTAGGGCTATCCATTTATTTCCCAATTTCACGTGAAGAATGACATTCGCCCCGCTAAAAGATCTCGGAACGAAACCGTGTGATTTTCTCGTTTAAACACAACCCTGGAGATGATCTTAGACGATGGGCGGGTAGGATTCTTCAAAAGTTTATTGCAAAGATGTGCACATACGATGAATACGATAAGATACGATTGAGATTTTTCAGCCTCGGATTCCGGAGTCCGGAATGAAGGGCGTAGAAGGATCGCCTGCTTGAAGATTTTTAATACCTATATTTAGTTCTGATGACACATGGTACCTGCATGGGAAGAGGAGATTCAAGGTGTGGCAAATATGCGGTTTCCGAGTATTGTTTTCCAGCTGCGGCAATAAGAGATATTGCTAACTCTTCTTGATTTGTTGTAGCCGAGCTGATGGAAAATACTGGGTAAGATTTGCTCAATGCAGATGCTTGTGAACTTAAAGTGAGCGAATACCACATGAGTGATTGAACCCCTTTATTCTTCGGCATCTTTGGCTTTTTTTGACAGTTTTCTGACCTTCTTTGCTGGCAGTATCTCTAGTTGCACAGCAAGAACTGCCCATGCTCTTCACTTTTGCTTCTTCTTGATATTACTACGTTCTTATGGCTTTGTCACAAGCTAATTCTAGAGGATCTCATATATTGCGTTCCGGTATTGCTCTCTTTGCGCAACTTATTTGCTCTTGCGCTTCTTCACATCTTCTCTATTCTTTGCTTGTTGAGCTGCTTTTTGGATAGCATCCGTCATTCTCTCTCGATGTTTAGTTTACTTTTAGCAGCATCTTGATCTTTCAACGTTAGATCTGCAACTCTTTTACTCCTTACATCTTTTCGTGTCAGTTTGCTCTTCAAATTCTATACAATTTTGACTTCTGTCCCTTCGAATTCTTTTCTTACTCGGCTCGGGTATTTCGTCTGGTCTTACTAGTATTGTACTTGGATCGATACACCTTTTACTTGACTGTATGCTGCTTGCAAAACAGCATCATATCTTCGTGCTTGTACCAGCTTCGTATGCTAGGCTTTCACCAAGCTTGCCGAGTCTATTCTACAGCCTTTAATCTCAACTTCTTTGCTGATGATTCCTCTTTCATTCTATTGGTAAAAGTAAAAGACTATTTGTGTGTAGACAAATTATTTGGAATGCCTGGTTGAGGCCAAAGATTGAGACCCGTTATATTGTTATATTGAATTCAGAAGTTGAGGCACTCCGAGTGCTGGGTCGCAGTAGGGACTTTCGGAAATTCTGGATCAAATGATGTACCGTCGTCTCCATCTCACTGAGATTCTGTCCAAATCAAACTACAGAACTTCCATGCTACTTTGATTGGTGTAAAGCTCTCAGAACCTGCTTTGGAATTCGAAATTTCAAGATCAGCTATATATGGAGCTAATAGTGTCTCGTGATTTTCAAGATGATTCTTCTGAGAAACGTATCACATGACTATTTTCCTCTTTGTAACTCTCTATCTCGCAGTAGACCCTACAGTGAGCACCACGGGGAAAGCGTAACTTGATAGTACTTCTATAAATGTAAATTAATTAAGTGCGACCTGCGCTTTCATCAAATTTTATATACGCCGCATGCCTAGGATATGAACAATAGACTTCAACAGCCACCCTTACACCAGTGTAAACTCTTCCTCCATCACCCTCAGCTTTCCAGAGTAATTCTTTCCATTCTTCTGCTGTATGACTCGTTCAATATCCTGAACTGGTACAAATGCCCTACCAATAACTCTCCACTTCCCTAATTCCTTCTCCATCCTCAACACAACTTGATGCTTACAGCCAGCCAGATAACAAATGACATCTCCCTCCATGGTACCTTCAGCAGTCATGGCTAAAAGTCCATTCTTACAAACAGTAATTTTCAATGTCTCCTCCCAAGGTCCATATGAATTCACCAAGTTCATTTTGTTGCCAAAAATCTTAAGAATCTCGGCCTTCTGGTCGTTGCCACTAAAAAAAAGTACCAGCGTACCACCTCTTCACGGCGTATCCTGCACCCACTAATGCAACTATCAGCACCAAGGATAGTACGAAAACCCATATAATTCCGATACCAAAAACTACAGACTTCTGGCTGTGGCGCGGAACCAAAAAAACAATGGGCAGAACTCCCATAAGGATGATCAAAAAATATGTGAGTCTACGATGTTGAAAATACCAACCGAAGTGCTGTTTTTTCCAAATCTCTTTTTTGCTATAAAGGGCCCATTGATTCAAGGTCTTTCCGTGCATTAGGAATGGCTTTGAGGCATACTTTGATCGAGATTCGATGTTTCGGGGTGGTAGCATCCCCTTGGTGACCCTTTTAAACTGAACGCAATAAAATGCATACCAAAGAAGTCCTATGATGCCCTCATCTTTCCTTTCGAAATCTTCTTGACGGAAACATAAAGACAACGAATTCAATATGTGAGCTTTGCTATAGGTTATCTGTTCGACCCGTAAATGATCAGGCTGTTGAAAAGCGTGGCCCGAAGTCAGACGCATTCGTGGGTTTGTCGTCCATACAGTATCTTGAACAGTACCCAGTTGTGTTCCCATGAGATTTAACCATTTTCCATTGTAGCTTCGAGTGTGCAACTTTCGAATTTCATGTCCAGAATCGACATTTTCTATGCGCTTAATCTTCTCTGCCCTTTCTAAAATAAATTTGGATGTGGCGTTCCAGCATGATGAAGATATCCAGTTAAGGGACCAAGAAGGTAAAAGTAACTCTCGAGATCTGAATTTATAAGATTGAGTTAATATAACGTCGAGAGAGCCTTCCCTTTGAGCAAATGCCATTGTTAAATCGCATAAAATTTCTTCCAATGTTTTTTCGTAGTCAATTATTGGAACTAATACTGAACCATCACTAGAAAAGCCAGCGAGGGCATAGACTCGATCTTGTGGCCATCTACATACTGATTGTTTAGCCAACGTCATTGCTCGACGAAGATCTAAACTGCCATTTTGATAAATGTTGCGAATAGTAGCCACGTGTCGGTAATTCGAAGCTGCTCGTTCCACTTTTCAATCTCGACGTTTCAGCTCATTGCTCAGGAACCTAATGGCTATAGCTAGTTGGTCATATGTTATGGATGCAACATCGCCGCACAGAAACAGAACGTCGGATGCCACAGCAATTTCCTGGATGATCCACATCCTTGCCCAGTATTCTCAATTGAAAAAGTCTCTGAGCGAGGCTGTAAGCTCTTTACATCCTGGAATGTTGCAACGATAACAAACGTTGCAGTTAAGGGATGTGAATAGTTTCGAAAGTGATATTCGACGCAATAGTGAGTCGATGCGATGGGGATTTGATAGTGCTAGGTCCTTCATGGAATTCATGGCAAATGCTGACAATCCACTTGAATCCAATCCGAGTCATGTGTAGACTATTTTCGCTTTTGAGTAGATCTGTGTCATAAGTCGGACTCGAAAGCTTTTCTCCTGATTGTCACTTTGTTTGATACAGACTGCATCAGTCTATACTAGTTCAATAGCCATTCTTCGGAGCCTGATGAGAGCTTTAGCAAGATTGATACCGACACTGACTCTGACATTGTCAATCCATATTACTGATTGTTCTGGAGAGCTACCCCAACAGTAGGATAAAGCGGTATAGTCTTCCATATACTTGTCCACCAGAGACATGGTTTTCATTTCGCATTGTACAGGCGACTCATCAGGACCAGCCAGAATCGACAGCACTCGTATTTCATACTTCTCATTCTTTAGAGGGAAATACTAATAGGCTGACTGAGTTGACATAATTTTGGTTATTCAAAGCGTGGTAAGGCGTTATCTATAACACCGATATATTTAGGATCTAAATGTAATTGTATTTGTGAATGCACTACTCACATAATACTAAACCTCACCTTTACCGGGCTGCCAGGTTGCCAATGTGATCTAAACACGCAAACAGGATTGCTTCTTTTGAGATTTGGATTGGAATCTATTGATATCGCAGCGTAGTAATCTTCAAAATGGTGGAGACAGGATATAAGTAAGTTGATGAGGATGTTGAGGTATGAGAAGGCAGTATTTGGATGTCATATACTTGCAAATATTTTTCCTTTCGCCATTACTGTCTGTAGTCTTACTGACAAACCTTCGATGCGAATACCTTCTCATTGTTCATAGAAAACAGGAGGTATTGCTGGTCGACTGGACTATTGGTGCTTTAAACGCTGACGCTGACTCGACCAGGCTAGTTTATCAATCGAGTTTCATCTGAAGAAGAGGTAGGACCAAAGAGAGTGTATGTATTTGAGAAAAACAATACTTGAGCCGCTGCATCTCAGCGGCGTAAAATTTTACAGATGATATCAAAATACTAGATGAGTAGGTAGGTAATTGATACAAAATACCCAAGATAGAACAAGAACAGGATTGAGAAAGCACGCCAAAGAAGATTTTCCCGGCATTTCACAGCTTGCTTGAAGATTTCTTTTACATACCATACCTACTGTGGTCAGAAATATGATAAATTAGAGGTAGCAAATCCGACAGATTAATTTGATGAAACTTACTGACTCTTTGAAAGGTAATTTGGAGAGAGGGGACGAGCCCTAAGAACTCGGAACGACATTTTTGAGATGTGCAACAGACCAGATTCAAAAGAAATGATCACGTGGCATTCTTGAACGAGCCTATCTAGGTACCTAGTGAGGTTTATAGGAATAGAAAGATTAAGAGAACGAAAGATAATGTTTCATGCTTAATTTTAGGACTAAAAAGGGTTTCCAATGTAGTCTGTCAAGTTAACTTCAGTTATGCAGATCCACCCAATTAGATCCAATTAGATCCAATTAGATGCAGATTTCCAGATCTTAGATTAGGGCTAGATCAAACACCCCACCCCCAAGCACACCTATTAATAAATCAGTCACTCCGCACGTCATAATTTCCGTTGAAGGAAGTACATGAACGTATCTACTGGAACTATTTATTGTGAATCATATTTAAATCAGTTCTCCCGCGGATCATATTCCTCTTTCGACGAAAGCAAATAATCTAAATCAATAATCTATGTTGTGAATCATACTTAGACTTGTGACGATCCCTGTCTGAACCCCTCTATTCTATGGTGAATCTTATCAACGAAACACATGATATACCTAACTCCCACGCCAAACCTCGACCTTAGATTTTCTTCCAAGTGTATAAATTTGACAATCCATCCCAGAATCCTATCCAAATTCCATCACAGCTACATCCTCATACTTCGTCTCTAACGAAATTTTCATCTGCGCTTCCAAGAAAGAGAGCCTTTGAACAACAGTATATCTAACAAGATGACTGCGATACCTCCAGATACAGCTGATGCTGCTGACTCCCCAATATTTCACCCTACCGATGCGGATGCTCTTACAAGAGCGGGTCACTTGAAGCCAGCGCATGGAAGAAGACGTGAAGTGTCATTGCATCTAATGTCTGAGGAGTATATCTCAAGCTCGAGTGGGTCAGAAGATACGCAGATAGTTCCAGATCTACTTGTGTCTCCGGAGACACTGATATATCTCGGGTGGGGGTTACAAAAAGCTGGAGAGATTTGGAGCAGATGGCGAGAGATCAAAGAAGCTGAGACAGAAGATGGGCAAGAGGTTATTGAGATGGAGTTTTTAGGGTTCGTCCTTGAAAGATACGTTCCGGAGGTCAACATTTCAGATGGTCGGGAGGCGTGTATTGAGCAAATGGAGCTCTGGGGATTGGCGGGTGAGCTGATCAACTGCATAATGGCAAGTGCATTTGAAGGTGTACGGATGACCGAAACGATTCAGTACTGGGTCCGCGACACGATGAGTATTCGATACTTAGGTCTTGAGGGGTTACAAAAGAATAGTGCCAGAAGAGACGAGAGGAGGAGAAATGGCACCGAAGATGGTGAGTCTGAGATAAGAGCTGCGGTTGCAAGAGCGCCTTCATCAGCCGTACCTGGACATACGATACTCTACAAAGCCATTTCCAGCACCCGAGTTGCGTATTTATCGGATGGAAGTATAGATATCGAATCTCTCGCGAGCTTGCCGCCAACAGATTTCAGAGGAAGGATCTTTGCACCAATTTACTTCACCCCGAGCCTCAGTGTCGCGAAAGTATATCGCGGTTATGTCCGAAACCGAACATCATCCCCAGCCTTGATGATACAGATGATTGTACCGAATTCTTTCTTAGAGGCTCTCCCCCCATACGTTTGTCCATTCGGAGATCTGTGGAAGCAGGTTGTGTATACCTGTAGAGGAGGTGCAAATTTACGAGGTACCATGGCTAGGATGCACAGTCATGCACTAATCATCGCTCCTATTGCAAAGGGAGACAATAACGCCATTGCTCGTCTTAGAGATTGGCGAGAGGTTACACTGAACAACGTCATGCACGTGGATGGGGAAAAGGCCATCCAGTACGTTTTCCAGACAGAATCTGTGTTTCGAGAGCTAGAAGAGGTGTGCGAGCTGAGCGTGATCAAGGTTTAGGTTATGCTATTGGTGTTATTTAGTTACGATGACGGTGCTTAGGGGTCTCGACTTGTTGCTTCAATAGCCACGATGGTTACATATTCAATGGTTCAGTAGTTTCGATGAGTTTCGATAATAGATAATAGATAATAGATATTCGATGGTTTAAATATTTTTACAATGCTATGAATTTCAACAATACCTAGTACACATTGACTGTTGAGCAGACTTCGTAAAGTGTATACACAAAGCATATAGAGTAAAAGGTATTGTAATTCTGCCCCTTCGAATAAAAAAGGAACACTATTCAATATAGATATTACTATCCTATCTATTACTTACATACGAAGTGTATGAGAAGTGGTGCCCATGATGGTGGGGTGGACAGGACACTGGATATCTCTTAATATATCAACTTGTATGTATATCTTAGGGATTGTTACAATTATTCACTTGAGATGAGACGATTAAATGATAACTTTTGATATCAAACAATCAAAGAATGAATTTGTTATAAATCTCGGCAGTTGAGAAGTATCCCTCCCGTCTCTACCCAGGAGAGAAAAGAGGGTAGAATTGATCACTCTAATAAATTCTATAATAAATCTATTGATGTTGACATTACAATAGTTAATAATGTTGAATAGATCTTTGAATAATTTTGAATTATAAAAGTATTTAAACATTTAGTACTTTGAATTGGAATGAAACAATTGGATTGTTGAAGTGCTTTGCCAGTGGTCAATTCCGGCCTGCGAAGAGCCCGTCAATCCATGCCATCATGCACCTTCCTGATGGACGAACCCCAAGAACTATGAACGACACTCTTATTATTAAGATATGCAACAAACCAGGAAAATGAATGATCATGTGATACAGTCAAACGAGACTACTCATTGGCTGACGAAACCGGAGTATCATCGGGAAAAAGAGAACACTGGGATGTACCATTTTGCAACAAAAGAGACCGTGGCACCATAAATCATGTGTAATTGGGTACTTCCAACAACCTGCTGCTTCCAAACTTAAGAATGTGAGGCAAGCTGGAGAGTAACAAGAGAGCGAAAAAATGTCTACCAAAAATGTAAAAGGGAGAAGTGCATCAACTCAGAACTCTCCGAGGGGGGACGAACCCCACCTTTTCAAGCACTCACTTTCGAGACACCTCAAGGAATCCCCATTAGCCAAACTCGGGTTCAGCGACTCGTCTCATGTTGACGGCAAGCAGAAACTTATATCTCAGAAATGATGATTATACGAGATGGCAAAAACTTCCGTGCCAAAAACCTACTATTGGTGGCGTGAATGCGAATCAGGAGATGATGGACATATTATGTAAGTAAGTAAAAGGCTTAATTATACGATACAGTTGAGACAGGGAGGCTCAGCAGGATAGGCATCATCAATATAGCGAGAAAGTGGAATGCGCAGCAGTAATACATACGCGTACAAATGCAAGTCGATATTCGATCTCAGATGAAGCCGATGAATAGGTTCATTGGCATTTGTAATTGTATGGTAGGTATGGATATTTTGCTAATAAGTGTATCTGTCTAGTAGTATTTGGTATTGATGATGGCGTTCTTCTATTGTAAGAACATCAAGATAGGGAAGGCAAAAAGAAGCATCGCATAGTTCATTCTTCATTCGATATTGGTTGGCTTGAGTGACCTGATTGACCTGATTGACCTGATTGACCTGACTGACCTGATTGATTGACCGATTGACACATCACCTACTCCGTTCACGTACATGCACATACACATACAGACCAGACATACATACATAGCACAGCCTTCAAACGTTCGCTTAAACAATGAAAGCGTGAAAGCGACATCCCATCCCCTCATCCGATCTCTGAAGCCAACTGGGGCAATGGTATGAACTACATAATAAAGAAAAAAAGATCATCAGTCAGTCCTCTTAATAGACATTATTAAGTTCGCCATCGGTGAATATAGAAGTTGTTGTTTTGATATCCAATAGGACTACCGATATCTTACTCCACTCATAAATCAATCTCATACAGTCACACCTAATCTCACACTTTGCTTTTGCTTGATTTCAACTTCTCTCATACAACATCCATTCAATACCTACCTAGGTACTGGAGGGAACGAATTCCATTTCCATTTCCATTTCCATTTCCATCCACCTCACATCCATTTCCCAATATAATACCTATACAAACCTACAATCGTCGGAGATTATAATTTGAAAAAACTTCTTCTCTTCTTCAAATTTTCTTGGAGATCAAAATAAAGATTTGATTTTAATTTCGCTTTCCCCGGCTTTTTCTTCTTACATAGAACTAACAAGGCCGGCCATATTTCCACCTAACGTCATTCGATTTTTCGACCCCGGGTCTTTTTAACCTTTCTCTTAACTACAACAACAACAACAAATCCATTCCTTCTTCCTTCCTTCCGATAACCACACACCGTCTATCGAAATCTTTTCTTATCATTTTGATCGCAAACAATTGAAATTACAGCATTGATATTTTGCATCAATTGATTCAGTCAATATGTCGTACACTCAACAATATCAAGGTATTGGTGGAAATCCATATCAAAACTCGGGTGCTGCTGAAGCCGGCTATGGAGGTGTAAGCAAAATTCAATTTCATCCTCATCCTCATCCTCTCTTCATTATCATTACAACATATGTGCGCAACATTATTATAGAAATACTAACGCTATGATAGAACAATGCAGGCCAGCCAGGGCTTTCCCACGAAATGTCAAACTACTCCGAAGGATCCAACTATTCCTCCGGTACACCCGGCGCCATTCCACCTCCAAGTAGCAACGTCCTTACTCAACAGGCTTTCCTCGATCGCGTTGACTTTGCCAAATCCGAAATTCGTTCTCTATCCTCTAATATCTCCCAAATTGCCACTCTCCACCAACGCGCCCTCTCTTCCCCCGATTCTTCCTCCACCGCCTCCCTCGAAAATCTTGTAACACAAACCCAGCTCAAAAACACTCAAATTCGTGACCAGATCAAGTATTTGGAAGGTGATGCGATCAAGACTCAAGATGGGACCAAGAATATCAAGAGCACGCAAGCTAAGAAGTTGAAGACGGAATTCGAAAATCAATTGCAGCAGTATAGGGAAGAGGAGTTGAATTATAGAAACGAATATAGACGCCAAATTGGACGACAGTACCGTATTGTTAACCCTGAAGCTACGGAGGCGGAGGTCGAGGAAGCTAGTCAGATGGATTGGGGTTCGGAAGGTGTTTTCCAAACTGCTGTATGTTCTATCCTATCTTGATTTTGGGTCCCCCTGCCATTTGATACTCTCAAAGATTAATTCCTCACCTCTAAAATCATTCTAACAAACTATTCAGCTCAAATCCAATCGATCTGGACAAGCATCTTCAGTTCTCGGAGCCGTTCGTGCTCGTCACAACGAACTTCAACGTATTGAAGCTACTCTCACCGATCTTGCAGCTATGTTCGCCGATATGGCCCAAATAGTCGAAGCTCAAGATCCAGTTGTCGAACATACCGAACAAAACGCCATCAAAACCGCTGAAGATGTCGACAAAGCAAATGTTCAAATTGACAAGGCGAATGAACATGCTCGTCGTAGAAACAGACTCAAGTGGTGGTGCTTGTTGGTTACGCTCATTATTATCCTGGCCATTGCGCTCGGTGTCGGTCTGGGTGTTGGACTGGCGGTCAAGGGGTCCAAGACTGCTACTAGTTAAAGGCCTGCATGAACGCGCGGTAGTAGTTGAAATTTTCTAATGGATTTGAGCTCGTGAGTCTTCCGGGGCACGAAGTATGATGGAGGGGTGGGGGTTTGAAAGCAATTGACAGATTCAACGAATGATGTGGTTCCACAGGACCATAAAGGGGATGGGACAGAATCTTGTATGTTGTATAGTTGTTTGGGGCATCATCTTTCGTAATTTCTTTTTTTTTCTCTACTTGCGCGCGTTTCTTTTCTACTCTTTCTACGAATGAATTGGGGTCTTTAATGCACAACGGGATGGACGAGTCACATATCATGTTATGCAAAAAGCTTGGGGTTTTTTACATAAGTATTTTAATATTATGACGACGGGATGGGTTGGGGTTTGGGGGGGGGGACTATGACTATGGCATAGTTTGGGGAGAACGAGAGGAAGAACGGGAGAAGAGAGAAACTGGGGAGATGGTTGGGGACACCTGCAGGTTCTTTAATAAGGCATGATTGTGCTTCCAGTGGTTGGAAGTGGAGTTCATGAAGGAGGGAGAAAGGAAGCCAATATAATGAAATGCAAAAATAAACGAATGTCCTTTAGTAATCAACCAATTATACATGTGTGCTTGCTTGTTTGGAGTGGTCGGAATTCCTCCCAAATTTTAGGAGTGAGCGGACGGTCTTGAGGTTGTAGATCTGACGATCTTGCAGATTCTACCCGTAGCTTCACATCAAGTCACCTAAAGCTTTGATACGGATACCTCATGCTACTCCTCATTATCTGAGCCTATATTCAATCGAAATATGTTATCAATCATATGTTCAACAAAACCCCTTCTCGCCTTCTCTCTATCTCCGTCTCTGTGTAGCTTATCCGCCAATTCGCCATTTCATCAATACACCAATTCTTATAATCTTTCCCATATTCCCGTATACCAATCGACTACAAGACACCGCACCCACCTCATGTTCATGCACTTTTCACTGACACCACATAAAACCCGCTGCACGAGCCCATAAAACTTCAACCCTGAACCCTTACCGATGAATTCGTCAGCCTTGCACTATCGAACTAGATTGACCAATCATATTCCATCGGTATATCTTCGGACTACTTCAAGGACAGCTTTCAACTGCTAATTCTAGGCCTGAGCACATCTTCATAGCACTGAAATCAATATCTCCAAATTTCGAGACTTCTTTTGTTTTCTTGAATTTCAAGTGTGAAGTTTTCGATGGATTGTGTTGGTTCTTGAAGTTTTGTCCACTTCTTATTCTTAGCCTCATTTTCGTGCTTGTTTCTCGTTCTTTAAGGAGACTTTTTATTGGGGAATCAATCGAATTGAGAGGATCAAGAGGATTGCACATGTGAATATTGCAAAGGAGGGAGAGATTGATTTGGAGAATTGTATGCGCAAAGGAAAAGAAGAGAACTCCAAAGGGACAGGACGAACGAAACGAGTCTGGTAAAATGAATGGATTTTCAGATCATGGGTTGGATGAGGGGTCGTTTGGGGAGAAGGGGGGGATTGTGAAGGCTTTTGATGCTTTTCGTATGTTTCATTCTTTTGCTTGTGTACACTTTTGCTTGCGATCATATATTGGGCTGCAATTGCATCTAATTGCCCGTTCATTTTGAAGCATATAATCAACATGGAAGATCACCAGCTAACTTTCCCACTCAACAGCCAAAGCAAAGCCACAATATATAACACAAACTTCTGGGGGCGGCAAATGGACCGTCGCCATGATGCTCGTGTCCTTCGCTCTTCTCGTCTCCGAATTCATGCGTTGGTGGACTGGCCATGAAACCCACACCTTCGTAGTTGAGAAGGGTGTTGGACATTCCCTACAGATAAACATGGATATGGTTATCAAAATGAAATGTTCGGAGATCCATATTAACGTACAAGATGCGGCTGGTGATCGCATATTAGCTGGAATAATGCTCAAAGAGGATGCGACAAATTGGAAACAATGGGTGGATGCAAAGGGTATACATCAACTGGGTAAAGATGCACACGGAAGAGTGATTACCGGGGAGGAATATCACGAGGAGGGATTTGGAGAGGAACATGTTCATGATATTGTGGTATTGGGAGGAAAGAAGAGGGCGAAGTTCGCGAAGACCCCAAGAGTTAAGGGTGGTCCTAAGGGAGGTGATAGTTGTAGGGTTTATGGAAGTTTGGAGGTTAATAAGGTGCAAGGAGACTTTCATATCACTGCAAGGGGTCATGGATATCCGGAGATGGGACAACATTTGGATCATAGTGGTTTGTATTCCTCTTTCTTTTCCTTTTCTGCTTGTGAATGTTTTGAATAACTGCTGACGCAATATAGCATTCAATTTCTCCCATATAATCAACGAGTTATCATTCGGCCCCTTCTACCCCTCCCTTCTCAACCCCCTCGACCGCACCATCGCCGGCACACCCAACCATTTCCACAAATACCAATACTTCCTCTCCATAGTCCCAACTCTTTACTCCCTCTCGCCATCGGCATTTTCTCCCTCGTCATCTCCCACTCTTCTACGCACAAATCAATACGCTGTTACATCACAAGAACATATTGTAGGCGAACGCAGCATACCGGGTATATTCTTCAAATATGATATTGAACCGCTTCTTTTGACAGTAGAGGAAAGTAGAGATGGATTCTTGAGATTTGTGGTTAAGGTTGTCAATGTTGTGAGTGGTGTGTTGGTGGCGGGCCATTGGGGATTCACGATTACAGAGTGGGGGTTGAGGGTTTGGGGACGGAGAAGTGGGAGAGGTGCGAAGGGTATGTTGGATAGTGGAAAGTACAATGAAGATTAGATGGTTGGGAGCAATTTCGTCACATGCAGGTAAAGCTCGAGACGGCAAAAGCGCATGGGAAGAGAGGAAGAAGGAAATAGGGAAGGAGAAGAGAATTGAAGAATATAGGTATTTATATATTCACACACACCAGGAGTTTAGGCAGGAAATTGGGAATGGGAAATGGATATATCATATCTAAATCGAAATGCAAAAAGACTAAAAATACCAGCAATTTCGTATCATGGAGAAAGTGAATGATCGTCAATTTGATTTTTACGGTCTTTCTACAGATGCCTTGTTTTCTTTTTGTAAAATCGCTTATTGTTTCTTGCGTTTTGAATGGAACTTGTTGTTAACTGTGATTGTTGATGTCAGAATATTGGCCTACCTAGTGGGTAGTAGTGAGTGAGTGTAGTTACTTCACTGTCCAGATGGTGTCACCAGATATTTGTTGTATTCATTTTCTTTCCTATCCTTTGAGACCGACCTTGAGCTGAGCCCTTCAGTTTGGGTATACGTAGGTAGGTATTGGATGTTGGGTTCTTGTTTGCTCTCCTCGCTTGGGGGAGGGTTGTTTTTGGAAATAGAGATGGGGAATAGAGATTGGAAATAGGGAATAGGGGATGGAGGATGAATGATGAAGGATGGATGGTGTGGTGTGGTGTATGTTATATGTGGTATGTAGTGTAGATGAAATGAGTATTGTAGGGTATAATATTCTTGTGATGGGGTTGAATCAGTGGGGGTAGAGGGGAGGTAAGGGTGGGAGGGGAGAAGAATATGGTAAAGGGTTGTTTGGAAGTTGGATGTGGAGAGTGATGTGGAGGGTGATGTACATGAGAATCAGACTGTGGGTCAGAATGACAGGAGAGAGGGGAGAGGGAAGAAATGGTAGGCTTGAAGTTAAGAGGGTTTGTTGAGTTGAAGTGCTGGAGATTAAGTGCTTGGTAAGTGAATAATTTTCTCAGGTGAGTTCTTACTTTCTCTATTTCTTTCTATTCTTCCTTTTAGTAGCTTCAGGATGCAGGATACAGGATTGCCTTGACGTCTTGGATCGCTGCTTACGTTCTCAGATTCCTGCTCGGATTCTGAGAGAAGTGGTAGGCGCATTATGTAAGTAAGCGAGGGAGTAGACCGGGTATGGTTTGTAAGTTGATGGTGGGATACTTGAGGATTATAGCGCCTTCAATTTACAGAGGATACAAGGTAAGTAGGTGTAAGTATGGGATTGGAGGCGAAGGCTTCTGCATCTTGGTATTATGAGTTTTTGTGGTTCTTTAATTTGAGTTCTGTGTTGTCGATGTATTGTTTAATGCTATCTTTCTCACCTTGTCAAAATTTATGCTTGACTTCGAAGTTTCTTTCACATCGCAGATGTGCATCATAGTATATAAGATTATATCTCTTAGTAATTCCGATCAAGTCTTTTCGAAACTCATTTCTTTGAAATACAACTCGTAGTCTTGCTTGGAGTTGAGGCCTGGTATGTGTTCTGATAGAGCAGAAAGGAAGATTGAGAATAATAATGATTGGAGTATAAAGACAAGAAAATGACAGACATGATCTGGGTTCGTGTTATCAATAGTTTCAATCTTTTGTTTCCAATTCGGCCCTTTTGGTCAATCATGGCTGAAGGAAGTGTGGATATTTCTCAGCGAAGCAGTGAGATATTCATGAGGTGAGATGTGTTTCTTCTCGGCTGTACGATTCCAGTGTTTTTTGAAAGCTGGGGAAAATCCGGGGTATGCTCTACCAATGAGAACGAATTCCATCGCTGGGTTTCTGGGATGTCCGATGGGGTAATGACTTGCTTCTTTCGGTCGACAGCATGACTCAAGGATCGTAGAAGTCAGGTTGGAGAATTAAAACATCTCTCAGTTCCTTGTCTCCAATTGGTTGAAATGCATGTTCAGTCATGGATCTCTGGTTGACATGACAGAATCAGAAGCGGAAAGCGTCAATGCCGAAGATAGATTGATAGATCTTCTGCAGCTGCGTATCAGACGACGTAGAATAAAGATGGAATTCAAAGATTTACACTGATAGTATTAAGTTATAAATAAAGTCATGAAGTGAATATATTTTGACAAGGGACAGTTCGAAGCCAATGACATAAGAAAGTCCAGAGGTTGGAAATAGGTAAACGCTCAACGAGTACCACATTGAGCTGCCACGTCTTCAAAAAGTATATAGTATGGCATATTGCATCCTATTGATCTTT